TTTTTTTGACAGTGTCGCTCTGTCGCCCAGGCTGGAGTGCAGTGGTGCATCTCCACTCATTGCAAGCTCCGCCTCCTGGGTTGACACCATTCTCCTGCCTCAGCCTCCTGCGTAGCTGGGACTACAGGCCCCCACCACCACGCCCGGCTAATTTTTTGTACTTTTTTAGTAGAGACAGGGTTTCACCATGTTAGCCAGGATGGTCTCGATCTCCTGACCTCGTGATACGCCTGCCTTGGCCTCCCAAAGTGCTGGGATTACAGGTGTGAGCCACTGAGCCCGGCTGTGCTGCCTTCTTTAACTCCCAGGGTCCAACACAAACCTGTCATCAACTAACATCCTCCACCCTACTGTCTGCCTCACCTTCTTACCTGTGACATCTGGCCCCCTTGTTTTTAAGAAAAAGAAAAATTAGCTGGGCATGGTGGCAGGTGCCTGTAATCCCAGCTACTCAGGAGACTGAGGTGGGAGGATGGCTTGAGCCCAGAAATTCAAGGTTGCAGTGAGCTATGATCATACCATTGCACCACTCCAACCTGGGACACACACACACACACACACACACACACACACACACAGAAGAAGAAGAAGAAGAAGAAGAAGAAGAAGAAGAAGAAGAAGAAGAAGAAGAAAGAAAAGAGAAACAGAAAAAAAGTTGGCCATTTTATTTTTTTGTGAGACACAGTTTCTCTATTTTCGCCCACGCTGGAGTGCAGTGGCGCGATCTTGGCTCACTGCAACCTCTACCTCCCGGGTTCAGTAGAAAAAAAGGTTGCAGTCCGGGTGGTAACAGCTCAGGTTAACAGCTGGAACCTTCCACCTGAGTGAGGATGACAGGGAGAGTACAGAACCAAATGGAGATCAGGTGAGCCTGGGAAAGTAGACAGACAGGTGAGGCACGGAAAGCCAAACAGCATGTCCGCCACGGGGAGCCTTCCATGCTCCGTGAGACTGCTCTGGTCCTAGCTACAACACTTGGAACTTGCTGCCCAACATCAGTGTCTTTTTAATTCTTCTCTTGATCAAAAATAATAATAATAGAGCCATTGTCACTAGATTATTGGTAGCAGCAGGAGCCACTGACCCTCACTTGGGCCTCTTCCTCCTCCCAGGCACTGCACTGCTAATTTACTTCTCATCCTCCTTTGGGCCTAGAGGGCAGGAAATCTGGGTCCCTATTTTCCAAGACAAGCTACTCGCAAGTAGCACAGCCAGCAAGAAGTGAAGCCAGAGTTCAAACCCAGGTCCATCTGAGAGTGCCTCCTCCCCCCCCGTAATGCCTTTTTTTTTTTTTTTTTTTTTGACAGTGTCGCTCTGTCGCCCAGGCTGGAGTGCAGTGGTGCATCTCCACTCATTGCAAGCTCCGCCTCCTGGGTTGACACCATTCTCCTGCCTCAGCCTCCTGCGTAGCTGGGACTACAGGCCCCCACCACCACGCCCGGCTAATTTTTTGTACTTTTTTAGTAGAGACAGGGTTTCACCATGTTAGCCAGGATGGTCTCGATCTCCTGACCTCGTGATACGCCTGCCTTGGCCTCCCAAAGTGCTGGGATTACAGGTGTGAGCCACTGAGCCCGGCTGTGCTGCCTTCTTTAACTCCCAGGGTCCAACACAAACCTGTCATCAACTAACATCCTCCACCCTACTGTCTGCCTCACCTTCTTACCTGTGACATCTGGCCCCCTTGTTTTTTGTGGGTTTTTTTTTTGTTTGTTTTTTTTAAGAGGCAGGGTCTTCCTCTGTTGCCCAGGCTGGAGTACAGTGGTGCAAACATGGCTCACTACAGCCTCAACCTCCTGGGTTCAAGCAATCCTCCCATCTCAGCCTCCCAGGAAGCTGCAACGACAGGTGCATGCCACCACACCTGGCTAATTTTTAAAATCTTTTGTAAAGATGGGGTTCGCTATGTTGCCTAGGCAGGTCTCAATCTGGCCTCAAGTGATCCTCCTGCCTCAGCCTCCTGAGTAGCTGGGATTATAGGCACATGCCACCACATCCAGCTAATTTTTATAGAGACGGGGTCTTACTACGTTGCTCAGGCTGGTCTGAAACTCCTGGGCTTAAGCGCTTTGGCCGTCCCAGCCTCCCAAAGTGCTGGGACTACAGGCGTGAGCCATGCGCTGGGCCCTAGAATGGTGAATTTTATGGTATGTATATTTTTTTACCACCATCACACACACACAGACAAACACACACAGTTACAAGGTAGGTCAGCCTCCAAAACATGGTACATGAGAGAAGCGAGACATGAAATGTGACACAATGTGTGATCCTATTTGTATGAAATGCTCAGAATGGGCAGATCCATAGAGACAGAGAGCTGACTGCTGGCCACTGGGGTCCGGTAGGAGAGGGGTGGGGAGTGATTGCTTAATGGGGATGGGGTTTCCGTTTGGGGTAGTGAAAATGTTCTGAAATTAAACAGTCATGTTTGTTGCACGACACAGCAA